TCATCAGTGGCCCTACGTGCAATATTAACATCAAATGCATTTGTAAAATTCCAGTATTCAAATGGATTACCATCAAATGAAATTATTTCTGGTTTAGGCATATTAACACTAAGCCCCAAGGTTTGCAATACTTGTGTCAAACCAGACTCTTTATTAACAGTATTAACATATTCATTTTTAGTATCATTTACAATTTCTTCCTGAGGCAATTCCACAGGGATTACATTAACATAATTTGTGTTACTAACATTTTGATACATAGGTCTATTAGACATATCTTCACCTGTTATTTGAGGTGGAAAAGCAATTTCATCATCGCTGTTAACACATACATCATCTATTTCATATTCAATTTCCTCCCCCCACAATTGATATTCGGCTTCAGCCTGTTCTACTTCAGTTGCTGCACTTTGAGCTTTGCCATCTGTGTCCTCACTTTGGCTTCTTGTAACTTCACTGTAGCAATACTTGAGCGCCTCGATGTTTTACTGGTTACCGATGTTGCACGGTTTACATTCACTGGGCTTAATGATAGTTCCTTTTTCAGTTTTCTGATTGGCCTTGATGCTCCATCAATTTCATGCTCAGAGTTCGTTGACCGCCTTGATGTAGGCCTATCATCACCTTCTAGATTGTACTTCCATCAAACTCATACTCAATCATGCAAATCCCTCCAGAACTCGGGTAATTTTGGCCTTCCACTGTGCTTCGATAGTTTGCATTTGGTTGTTCATCACAAGCTGGTGTATTAATGAAGTAGTTGACATAACTGGAAAAAAAAATGTTTATCATTAACATTGGCCTAATGCAATTATTATACAGATGCACAAAATACTGTAGTGTGATAAATACAAAATCAAGAAGATATATGTTGACATATAGGGAGGTCCACTTTTTCAAGTGATTTCAATTGATTGTTTTTGATAGGATAGAAGTAGTAGGCCTTTCCTACTGTATATGGTAGATATTTTAACAGAATTAGTGTAAATATATTGTAAACATTATTATTATTTCAGCATTGTTAAAATATTGATGCATATCACGTGAATAAAAAGGCAAACTGATCAATTTGCAAGTCTTGGTTCCCCTTTAATTGTTTGCATTGATTTATATAAGGACAGATGATGTTATTCATCAATAGTGATGATGAAATTGTTCTGTAATGTCAGACAGTGTTCCAATTTGGTTATCATTTGTGTATGATATTAACATGCCTTTAAAATTAATACTGTACTAAATTAAGTGAATTAGTTGAGTGTGATCTGCTGTAACATCACTTAGCAGGGAAACATTTG